TTTTTAGTTAGGGGACCAAATCACAGCTTGTACTAAAGATGAAGGACCAATTTAACTTTCACATCAAAGAATTTGTAAAATATTAGAAAAGACTAATTCAAGTGTACATCATCTGGGGCCGATACATCATTTCAAAATGGTTACAAAAATAAAAAGTAAAATGCTTTATGTTCTGTACCGAAAGAAAAACTGATTAGAGATGCAAATATGTTTTTTTTCTTAATGTTGAAACAATTGATTTCTTTGGATAAGTGAAGAGATTACAAAATAATATCAATAACAAATCTAAACCCATAGCATTAGTACAAATATATATATGTGGAAAATTAGGTATAAAAAGCCATCAATCATTAAAAATTACCAAAACAATCATTATAGGGAACAAACAGATCTAAGAATATTATCCAATCATTCATTGCGACCATCATGAAGAGACTCATTTGAATATTCCAACTTTTAAGGTAAAAAGATTAGCCAAGAACTTCACTCCCTAATTATGTTACCAATAACCTAAACAAGTACTACAAGTAGTTCGAGCACAAGGAACCCAACGTCTGGGTTTCTCGAAACCCAGTGGCGGGTTTGAAGGAACCTAGGTACATCCGTAAATATTAAGTCAAGTAATAAGTATAAGAGTTCAAAATTGTTTATCCAACTTGTTTAACTATTTTATTTACCAGTACTTGTATAATTGAAATTATATATATTTATTATACTTAATATCTATATAATAAAAATATTTTTTAAAAATTAAAATAAAAAAAATTACACACAACCTATAAATAACAAAGTTTAAACCAAACACATAATACATACACAGCCAACAACATTTTTCCTTGCATGCACTCTTAGGCAGCAATGAGTACTAATAACTTTAAATTTTGATTCTTTTTATTTTTCTATTAGTGATTTTCAAATCATAGTCTTTGTTTATTGTATAGATGATTTTTTAACTTCATACTTCAAATTTAATATGATGAGAATTGTAAGTCAAAAGCATGGATATTAGGATATTAAAATAGATACAATACCATTTGTCTCACTATCCCTTTTTAATAAACCAAAATAAAGGATTAGGGAGACTATAAATCTAAAAACCTGAACATCTTTTTCGAAGGACTTTCATGTTGTTATTTAATTTATTTTCATTCTTTATTTTTGATAGATATTTTTTGTTTTTTATTGTTAATTATATAATTGAATTCAATTTTTTAATAGTACGTAAAATTGAGTTCTTGATATGAAACCAAATTTTAATTCTCTATTGTTATTTTAGATTACATTTAAATTTAGTTTTTCATAAATAATATTTTATTAAAATTTTACTAATTTTATTTAAATTTAGATTGAAAATAAATAATATTTTATTAAATTTTAATTT